TGGTACTGAAGTTTGAACCCAGGGCCTTGCACATTGTAAGTTGCAACCCTTCTGCCTCAGCCTCTTGAGATGCTAGAAATACAGGTGTGCACCACCATGTGTGCAAAATTCACTTATTGTTGGTTTTTTCCTTTGGGGAACAGGTACCAGGAATTGAACTCAGGGGCACTCAACCTCTGAGGCACATCCCCAGCCCTATTTTATATATATATATATATGGTGTGTGTGTGTGTATTTACATCATTTATATTATTTCTAAATGTATAAATATTTAGAATCAGTGTCTCACTGAGTTGCTTAATGCTTTACTGTTGTTAAGGCTGGCTTTGAACTCAAGATCCTCCTGCCTCAGCCTCCCAAACCACTGGGATTATAGGCATGGGCCCCTGTGCCCTGCTCATTTATTGTTAATCCTAATAAATATCATATTCTTAGTTTGGCCTGTTGTTCCAACCTACCAAACCTTTTAATATCTTGATTTTTAAATATCAGCCAGCTTCAGCAAAAGTGAGGCCCTAAGCAATGCAGTGAGACCCTGTCTCTAAATAAAATACAAAAAATGGTTGAAGATGTGGTTCAGTGGTTGAGTGCCCCTGAGTTCAATCCCTGGTACCCCTCACCAAAAAAAAAACTAATATATTTCCTCAAGGTAACGTAGCTATTAAGTGGTAGAGCTAGACTTTACTCAGAAATCTGTTAATTTGCCTTCTTTAGATTGATTGTTCAACCTCCACAAATTCATATATTTATTAATTTCTTTGTTCAGTCCTCTATCAGAATTTATAGCACAGAAGGTCCTGCTAAGCTCAGAGGATACAGTAACAGCCATAAACTCTGCTTAATGATCTAATCTGGATGTCTATCTATGCCTTCTGCTATTACCTTGACTAACACCTAGAAATCCTATTTTTCAAGTTTGCTGTGTTTGGCAGGACTCCTTGGTGAAAGCACTGGATTTCTTTGCTTTGTTTCCTAATTACACACACACACACACACACACACACACACACACACACACACACACACATATATATATATATATATATTTTTTTTTTTTTTTTTTTGGTACTGAGGGTTGAACCCAGAGGTGCTTTACCACTGGGGCATACCGGCAGCACTTTTAATTTTTTATTTTGAGACAGGGGCTCACTAAATTTCTTAAGGCCTCAATAAGTTGCTGAGACTGGCCTCGAACTTGCAATTCTCCTATTTTAGCCCTCCCAAGTCACTGGGATTACAGACGTGTACTACTGTATCCAGTCAAGTAATATTTTTCTGACAATATATTTTTCCTAGATGTTAGGCAATTAAACCTATTGCTGCATATCCATAGATGGAATAGCATATAGCCATCACAAAACAGGTTTCCAGAAGAATACCTCAGAACATAATTATTCACTATTTAATAAGTTTTTTAAAAAATCAACTGAAAACAAAGCTTTCCTAAAATAGTGTCAATTCTGCATATTTATTTTATCATATTATAGAAATCTAAATCTTAATTTTTTCTTTCTTTTTTTTTTTTTTTTTTAGTACTGGTGTTTGAACTCAGGGGCACTCAACTATGAACCACATCTCCAGCCTTTTTTTTTGTATTTTATTTACAGTCTCAGTGAGTTGCTTAGCGCCTTGCTTTTACTGAGGCTGACTTTGACCTGAGCCACTCGGATTACAGATGTGCACCATAATGCCTGGCTTAAATCTTAAATTTTAATGCTAGAAAATACATGTAGTTACATGTATGTGTATATGTGCATGTATATATGAAATAGCCCCGTATAACAAGGTTAAAAATTTTACAATTTTTATTTTCTTTTTTATACTTTTCTGTACTTGCCAGATTTCTATACTGTACCAAATTTTAACAGAAATCTAAGTCAGTTTCACCAATCCATAGTTCAGAAATTAACCACCCTCACCCAATTATTGGTCCATTTTTCTTTTTTTCTTTTCTTTGTTTCTCATGTTCTCAAATGTTAGTGGTGTCATAATGTCTCCAAATTTGGCCAGTGCCTGGGATATTTTTATCAGTCCTGTCAAAAGAAAATTATAATATCCTAAGAAGAGATTTTTTAAAAAATATTTATTTTCTACAATGATGTAAATATATATATATATATCTCCTGAATGTTCTGGGAATATAGAAAAATCATCTCTCTCTCTCTCTCTCTCTCTCTCTCTCTCTCTCTCTCTCTCTCTCTCTCTAATTGAAAGGAGTGTTTACTATATTTTTCTCAATGGCAATGATACAATTGTCAATAGAGTAATTTTAAGCCAGAAAATTATCAAGTGTAAAATGGAATGGAATTGAAATTGAAGACAGTTTATAAAGCATAAATCAAATGATTTAGATTTGGAGACTGACTGATCCAACAGGAGACAAAATAATGGAGTCAAAGCTGGGCCTGGGCAGCTGGGGTGTTGGTTCTTGTCCTGACTCTGCCACTTAACTCTAGGTGTGGCCTGTGCTTCACCTCTCTGGAAACTATCATCTCATCTATAAATAAGGGATTACTAAATAATCGATGAGATCCCCTCTTAGCTCTAGAATTCTATCAAAGAAAGAAAGGGGGGAGATGAAGAAAGGAAGGGACTTGTATTCTATGTGCATGCACGCTTGTCCTTTCAATTATTAAGCTAAAGCAAAGATTAATCCTCATTATCTCAAAGACATGAAGGCTATTTTCTACATGACAAGAAGCAAATGGAAGAGAAAACTATCTAAGGAACATGATTACTATCTGGTGGTGGAATGGGGATTTCCTTTTGACAGTCTCTGCAGAATTGTCTTTCAATGTATGACAGCTAGAAAAAAAATTCAAGGTATGGCTAAGGGAGCACTACCTTTGAAATCACAACACCCTTATTTCTTCCTTTTAAAGTGCTGTTTAAAAAAAATAATGGTACAAAGCAAAGCAGTATTAACACCAGTATCACAATCTTTGGGGACAGATGATTGGGGAATGATCATTTATTAAGCTCCATACTAGGCATTTTATATGATTAATCTCAAACTGTAGGGCAACCCTAACTAAAATGGAAAAGTAAGAGATCAGATAGTAGTTTGCCCATGGTTACATCAGAGAGTCAAAATGGTCCTCTAGTTTCAAAACTCATGTTCTTTTTCTGGCTTTCTGTAAGAGTTTTCCTGTTTGAAAATAACGTTGTTATTTGTATATAATGCTTAAAAGCTACTTGCTAGTGAATTTGCACGCTTGTGTGGTTTGGTCCCTCTCTGCCTCTTTGTCATTTAAGCAATGTTTACTTTCATTTTTCCTCTTACATAGAAGAACTTCAGATCGGTTCAACACACATTTGTTGAGACAACAATAATTGCCATGGATGAGCACGAGGAACGCAAAGAACACAAAACCTTTGCCCTCAAGGAGAGTTGGGAATGAGGGAGAATTGTGAAAATATTTTCTAAACAGAAATACACTTTGTAAATGCATGATATAGTTTTGTGTGTGTAGTGCTAGGACTTGAATCTAGGGCTCCACATATGCTGCAGAAGTACTTGACCACTAGCTGTGTCACCAGCAAGGCACTGTTGTCACTACTACTAATAACAATAGCAATTATTATTATTCTCTCCCCCCTCCTCCCAATCTCGTTTTGAGACAGAGTCTTGCTAAATTGCTGAGGCTGTCTTTGAACTTGAGTTCCTCCTGCCTTAGTCTCCCAAGTTGCCTGGGATTCTAGGTGTGCACCACTACTCCAGGCTCAATTATCATTATTTCAATACATAAGACCCAGATTAGGTTTAATGTCTACTCTTTTTTGAAGCATTTCTACTAGACATATTGCAAAAACCTAGAGCCATCCACTAAGAGGCATTCTAGCAGTTTGTCAAATGACTTAATGGTCCCTGCTATTATTGTCAAAGATTACTCCTTGCTGTCAACTGCAAAGTCATCAAATTGGCCATCTGTACTATGTCAAATGCTAATTAGCCATCCTGTATTTCCCCCACTTACCTTTTAAATATCACAGAGGACCAAACTCCTAGTAAAGACACCAGAGAAAAATGCTTTTCTCTACCTCCATCCCCAAAAGTCTGTAAGGGGGTTTATTCTATCCATCCCATCTTCTCAAATTTACTACACAGAGAAGATGTGATAATTACACATTCTATGACATTCTTTTCATGTGTATAATTGACAAGACATAGATGTTTCAAAAATAATCTTTCTTGTTTATTTTTTAGAAGGAATTACATTTGAAGCAGGTAGTTTTGGAACGCTTATTTGTAGATTTTAGAAATATATTTGATACTGTCACTTTCAATAGACATATCCAGGAGAATATGAGAGAATCTAGGAAACTACTTTCATGGCTACGAACTAAGTCATTACTGTCTTTCTCTTCTAGGACAATCCATTTTTTGATCTGCACTTCAAGAAAGTGTACAGTTTGGAAGCATATAGTTGTGCTTCTAAATATTCCTTTGCTCGAACTGTAAATAAGCTGAATCATGCATACCTCAAGAAGGACTTGCAGATTGTGAACTTTGATTCTACTTACATTAATGATGATTCCATTTGGTCCTCCAACAACAAGGATTGCTTGGTTCTCATGAGAATATGCTTTTATGCTTTTAATTTGGTGTGCTTATCTCTGTGCCCCCTGCCACTTTGAAGATGTATTCCATATCCCTTCATCAGTGTCTTACAAAAATGGTTCCTCAAGTAAATGCTAATCGTCAAAATTTTATTTTTCCCTTCATCAGTGGCTATTATTTATATGAAAATAAAGGGATGCTTTGTGGATTTCAGTGAAATGTGCTTTAATGCCATCTCTCAACATTTGGGAGTTTGGGGCAATGTATTTCATGGTAACTTTGGAAGGAAGTTGCATGGCTTTGACTAAATTAGTATTCTGCTAAAGAAAATTGAGAAGTACTTTTAAAAGACCTGGATCTGAGGAAAGACATTTATGTCTACGGATAAGAAGACAAGATTTTCAAGATGCAATACTATCCAAAGCAATTTGCAGACTTAATGCTATTCCTAACAAAATTCCAACACCTTTTATTACAGAAATGGAAGGTCAATCTTCAAAATTCACATGGAATTGCAAGGGATTCCAAATAGCAAAAGAATCTTGAAAAAGAAGGACAAAGTTGGAGGACTCACACTTTTGATTTCAAAACTCAATACAAAGCTATTGTAATCAAAATAGTGTGGTGCTTGCATAATGATAGACACAGAGTCCACTAGAATAAAACCAATTCAAAAAGAAATCCATATGTCTATGGTCAACTAATTTTTTACATGGGTGCCAAGTCCATTTAAAGGGAAAAGAATAATCTCTTTAACAGATCATGCTGGGAAAACTGGATATACACAGACAAAAGAATAAAGTAGGACATCTACCTTATACCATATACAAAAGATAACTCAAAATGGACAAATGACCTAAACATAAAAACTGAAAATATAAAACTCTTAGAAGAAAACACAGGGGTAAATCTTAAGGACTTTGGTTTGGCAGTAAATTCTTATAATATCAAAAGAATGAGAAACAAAAGAAAAATAGATACATTGGTCTTCATCAAAAATAAAATGCTTTTACACTAAATGACTTTATCCAAAAAGCAAAAATCAACCTACAGAATGAGAAATTATGTTTTCATATCATCTTTCAGAAAAGATTTAATGTCTAGAATACATAAAGAACTCCTACAACTCAGTAACCAAAAAAAAAAAAATCAACCCAATTTTAAAATGGGCAAAGGACTTAAACAGAGCTTTCTGCAAAGAAGATATATAAATGGCCAATATGCACAAAAAGGTGCTCATTAGTCAATAGAGAAGTGCAAATCAAAGCCATAAATGTCAAGAGAAATATCACTTCATACCTATGAGGATGGCTGTTTTTAATTTAAAAAAACAAAAATGGAAAATAACAAGCATTAGCAAGGACATGGATGAATTGAAACCCTCTTCTATTGCTGCTGAAAATGTAAAATGATGCAGCCACTAACAGCCCAGCACGGTATATGAAACTGGCCGCTTAGTGTCATGAGACCAAATAAAAGAGGCAGAAAGATCCAGGATTTCACAGATTGCAATTTACTAAGGACACACTGACAGTCCTGGGTGGCAGAGAAACCAGTTGGATTCCCACAGTTTGGGTCAGAAGGAGGGGTGTAAATAATGGTCAGAACAAAGTGGACTCATCCAAGCTGGAATGTACATGGTTTATCTTAAGATAAATCTTATTAAAGATTTCAGCTACATTCCTGATGTTGACAGAGCCAGGATCCAGTCAGGGTCCAATCGTAGCATTGTACATACCACTCTAATGGTCTCATTTTGTACATACCACTCTAATGGTCTCATTTGGTTACTATACAGGGAAAACCTACCAGGGTTACTCATGAGTTGTCATGGCGGTTATGACTCAAGATGGCTGCGGTGGGGTCAAGGTGAATCCATGCAAATGTTTCCATAAAAAACTAAACAGAGAGCTGGGGATATAGCTCAGCTGGTAGATTGCTTGCCTTATGCCTAAGGTCCTTGGTTCAATCCCTGGCACCACAAAAATAAACTAAACAGAGTTACCAAATGTCCAAAAGCAATTCATTCTGAGGTATTCAAAGAAATTCAAAAGACCCAAAGGAAATCAAAGCAGAAATATGTAATAGATATTTGTACAGTAATATTCATAGAAATCTGGCTTTCTGAACTATTTGCAGCATTATTCACAATAGCAAAAGATTAAAATAGCATGTGTCCATTAGTATATGAATGAATAAACAAAATGTAGAATAACTATACAATGGAATATCATTAAACTTCAAAAAGGAATGAAGTTTTGGTGCATGCTAAAACATGGATAAATTCTGAAAACATTATATATGCTAAGTTAAATAAAAAACAAAAATTGTATAATTCCATTTACAGGAAATTTCTGGAATAGGCCAATTCAGAGACAGAATAGGTCAGAAGTTACCAGAGACTTGGAGGAGAAAGGAAGGAGGAGTTCCTTAATGGTTACAGAGTTTCTGTCTGGGTTGATGAAAAAGTTTTAGAAATAGTGATGCTAAACAACATGGTGAAGGAATGTATTAATGCCACCAAATTGTACAATTTAAAATGGTTAAAAATGCAAATTTAAAAATTACAACTTTTAAAAAGTAATGTAATAAGCCAAAAACCTTGGAGCTTTAAATGGGTAAATTGTATGGAATGTGACTTATATCTCAATAAAGCTGTTAAAAAGGAAGAAAAGACTACCTTAAGTTTATAGGAAGAAAGTATGCATGAATTTTTTATAAACTGAAAATAGGAAAAACTTTCTTAGTGATCACTCAAAATCCAGAAATGAAGGAAAAAATATGATTAACTTAACTAAAAAGTTAAGAAACTTACATAAAATATGTATGGAAAAAACTATAGCTTGAGCCAAATAACAAATTGAAAACTAGAAAAAAATCGCAACTTATACAAAAATATGCTAATATCCCTCATATGTAGTGAGTTTCTAAATTTGAGGGGTAAAAAAAGACCAACATTCCAATTGGCAAAACATGTGAACAGACTGTTCACAGAAAAAGATTTGCAAATGACACTTAAACATATGAAGAGATGCTCAACCTTGCCCACGATGAAAAAAATTCAGATGAAATCTATGGAGCAATCTCATTTCTCATCTAACAGATTGGAAAAATTTTTAATTTTTTGACAATATTCCATTGGATATAGAAATAGTCCTCATTCATTACTATCAGGAATGGAAAATTATACAAAATCCCTAGGAGAGGAATTTGACAATATTTTGCAAAATTATATATACATTTACTCTTTGACCCAGACGTGCAAGGCTATTTCTAGAACTCTATCCCAAAGATACTTTGGCAAAACTATAAAATGACACATGCAAAGGCATGTGACTTTGATAACAAAAGCAAAATATTTAAGGTGAGAGAGATAGCTCAGGAAGAGTACTTGCCTACTATGTGCAGGTCCTGGGTTCGATCCCCATCACAGGAAAAGAAGGAGACCAAAAATTAGGGAAGCTGCCAATTATTAATCAGGTCCTGGTCATTTTTGGTTGCCTGAACTATTTCATAGACTTGTTACTGCATGTAGTAGATTGGTTTCCTGGGCTGCATGCTGCAAGTTGTGGGTTGGAGTTCTACTTTTACATTTATTCTAGCCCTTGTTTGTTTATATATTCAGAAATATTTTGATTGTCCTGGTGATGGTTACATGAGTACATATGTGTAAAGAAAAACAAAGAGACAGAAGCAAGCAAGGTATGGGGGCAAAGTAAAAGGGGCTGCTTGTCCAAACTGCCAGCTTTGTTTATAACCATAGGTTACACTGGGTCATTGATCGCTTATTGTATAAAGTTACAGTTATGTGGGCAAGTGTAGGACCAGTGACACATTGGTATTGTCTAAGAGAGTTCCTTTATTCCCAGAAGCTGAGTGTCTGAGATTAAGGTTGAGGCTGATAAGACTCTAGCACACTGCCTCCCAATGAAGGTCATTACCATAGCAGCTAGGCATAGAGCATGCATTAGTCATCTTACTATTTCCAGGGAGAAACTGTAGAATATTCCAAGTGTGGATAACTGGACGCCTGTTATCCTCCTGGAGTTTGCTCACCAGAGGAATGCTGCCTTGTACATTTCCACAGTGAGAATCCTTACACATATGATGCTTGTCAAAATCAACAAAATGAAAACACTATTTATAATTGTTAGTAGTTATATTGGAGTATTATTTTGACACTAAAATAAGAGCATAGTAGATAAAGTAGCTTCTACCAGACTATGATGGGGCAATTTGAGCATAAGAAAATGATTGTAATAGAATGAAATATTCAGATATATGTAAGTCCATGACACTCAAATAACTAAGAAATAAGTCTCAATTTTCACCACTGTAACATTTGAAAGTGATAAAAAATGCATTATGCATTTCCTATAGGAGCTCTATTCCAGATGACAGAAGATAAGGGAAATTTTTTTTTTAAATTTTTAATATTTATTTATTTTTTTAGTTCTTGGCAGACACAACAACTTTGTTGGTATGTGGTGCTGAGGATCGAACCCGGGCCGCACGCATGCCAGACGAGCGCGCTACCAACTGAGCCACATTCCCAGCCTAAGGGAAATTTTTAAATAATAATTCCAAATAATAAATGCAATAAGAGTGATAGAACTAGAAAATTACCATTTGCAATCTCTAATGAAATAATGGATTTAGGCAACAATTACCAATGAATGCTAAAATCATGAGGAGAAAGGTTATGGAAGAATCAGATACTTAAACCCAAAGAGTAATCTTTTTGTTTGTTTGTTTGTTTGTTTGTTTTCAGTGCTGGGAATTGAACTCAGGGATAGAGTAGATAGAGAAGGCAGGATGCATACATAGGAGTCTACCCCTGAGTCACACCCCCACCCCATAATGAGCAATCTTAATGCTAATAAAAGTGAATCAGCAATCCTTAAGTATTTATAATATGATGTAGTGATATAGTAAGAAGTATACAGCACTAACAATAAAGAATTCTTACCTAAAAATGAACCTGAATCTAACTATTCCCCTTGATCTAGCTACTGAATTTGAAGGAATAAGTCAAATATAGAATGTGTAAAATTCTACAGGACTATGGCTCAGTTTCTGTAAAAACCAATAACATGGGGGAAAAGAAGAAGGAGCACTGTTTAATATAAAAGAGACTAAGGAAATATAGCAAGCAAATACACTATATAGGCTTTATTTGAACCCTGATATGAACATAACAAGCATGAAAAGCCAGTTTTAAAACAACCAAGGAAATTAGAATTTGGCGGACACTATAAATTAAGGAATAATCGTTGATTTAATCAATATGATAATGACATGTTAGGTGTGCTTTTTAAAATCTTTCTAAATTAGGAAATACAGATTCTAAGATATTTACTAGTTATGTGATATGCACTGGGGGAAAAACGAGGGAAGGGAATTCAAAATAGGATTGGAAAAATATTAATCATTGTTGAAACTGGATCATGAATCCTTAGGAGTTTATTATACAAGTTTCTCTATATTTGAAATTTTTCATAATAAAATACTTAGAATGCATCTATCATTCTGAAACAAAAGAAAAGTTGAAGGTCATTTTAAAATATCACTTTTTTTTTAAAGGAGCCAGAGTGTCTTGGGTATGGCTGGAGCAGGGGGGAAATAATAGATGTGTCTAGAATTTCTTGTAGTACTAGAGGATAAGGAAGTTCTATAAAATAAAGTAGCTTCCAATGGCCAGTGCTATAAAACTTAAGGCAAGAAAACAATGATAGTATTAGAACATAACTCAAAGAGTAAAATAAATGTCTCTTAGTCTATTCTCATAGAAATGTATGAATGGATGAGTGGATGGACAATACTTGCTTACAGAAGAATTCCAAATAACAAAAGTGGAAGAAATGAGGAAAACTAATAATTGTAGACCAAATTAGAAAATAGGAAACCACCAAACACCATAGTTATAGTTGCTGCAGGTAAGATCAACAAATGAATTCTTAAATTAATGAAAGTATAAGGAGAAACTGTGTATTTTCATAACCTCAAAGTCTCTCCCCTAAAATGTTTATTGACTAGAAAGGAAAAAAAACAGTTTATAGTGGCAGACACCTGGAAGACATCACCTTGGCCAGGTGGTCAAAGCTAACCACATGAGTAATGGGACTTATCAGTGTTGGGTGCCACTGATGTAATGTAGGAGGAAGGCACATCACCTCTGTGATGCTGGCTCAAGTCTATAACCTTAGTATAGACTGAATTGAGGGACAAGAAGTATAAGTACCTTTTTATCAAAATAGGCAGTAAACACTATATGCTAGAAAACGTGCTAGAAAAATCTTAAATCCTGGGGTGCCTCTCCAACTAATAAAACCTGATCCAATAGCTCATGTGTTTGCTTCTTTGGAAAAAAAAATTCAGGTTGTGGTTAACAAAAGCAACTATTTCCTATATTAGAGTGCTGTCTTTATAGAGAGAATAAAGATAGTATCTTACTCACTTTGGGATTATACACAGGAGACACTCAATATATGTATATTTATTTTTGAAACATAATTCTTATAAAGGAAATTTGACTTTAGAGGTACTGTTGAAAATCTGATTATGTTAATGTTATTTCCTCTTATGTGCCTTTTCTCTCCCTTGTCTTCTCTCTTTTTTTCTTCACTTTTTTAAAGTTTAATTCCACACGTCAATGTCTTCCTTCTCCATACTCTTAGAGAGACAGAGGCAGAGAGAGAGAGAGAGAGAGAGAGAGAGAGAGAGAGAGAGAGAGAGAGAGAGATAGAGATTTTTTTTCACTACTGGGTATTGGACCCAGGGATGCTTTATCACCAAGATACATCCCCAACCTCCAACCCTTTTTGTTTTTTATAGTGACACAGGGTCTTGCTAACTCGATGAGGCTGGCCTTGAACTTGAGATCCTCCTGCCTCAGCGTCCTGAGTTGCTGGGATTACAGGTGTGTGCCACTACACCTGGCTATATATTTTTACTTTTAGTTCTATTTTAACTTAAGCCTCTGCAAGCAATTGGAACTCCTAGGAACTAGAAGGCAAGAATTATAGGAGTCTCACATATAGGCTCTCAGGTTGTACACTATACAAGTGCACCACATCTAAAAGAGAATCATTCCTATCCCAGACATTGTTTAGATGACAATGTACAAGTGACCTCTATAATCTCAGCACCCTGCTGAATTCTGGAACAGTGGGCAAGGGCTCCCTCCTTCATAAACCCTCATCAGCACTCATGAAGAGTACCTACAAATGTTCTCACTAATAAACACTTGAGCTATTGTCTATACCCTCTCTTAATCACATTGTGAGCATCTCTTTTAATCAGCTACCTGTTTTCCCAAGAATGATATGTAACAAATGGTCATAAATTTACGTAGCTTAAAAATAAGCATTTAGCTCTTGCTCAGGCACCTCTTCACTGACTTCAGTATGGCAGATCTAGGCTGAACTGGCTTCTAACCTTTAGTTGGGTTTAGGTTTGTTCCACATATCCCTTCCTCCTTGGATCAATGACTACCCCAATTTTTTCTTCTTGTGATCTAAGATACAAGGACCAGTCTGATTATGCAATCACATTTCAAACTTCTGCCTACATCATGTTTACTAGCAAGCTATTGCTTAAAGCAAGTCACTAGGTGAAGCCCCA